TAAGTTTTAATGTTTTGTCAATTTAAGAATTTAATGGATTAGCCTTATTTTGTAAGTTTTTATATTGGTTTTATACAATGTTTTTTTAATTCTAATTTCATTGTATTTACTGATACCATATTTTAGCACATCCTGAAGAAGCAAATAAATTTTGCGAAAGCTAGATAAAAGAACAAAGAATTTCACTTATGACGCTATTAATGACTGCAACCTCAAAATAAAACTTTATTTTACATAACGTGTCAGTCAATAATACCTAACTACCTATAATATATATATATATATATATATATATATATATATATATATTATATATATATATATATATATATAATATATATATATATATATATATATGTACAGTGATCGTTCCATTCCGTAACAGGTTTGGACTGGACTCGAAAATGAAATTTTGGACTCGAAATTGGAATGCAAAAGTAATTTATTTGGATTCTCAGAGCTGTTAATAGGCTCTGAAATGATGATGTCGAATTAACCCAATTAATTTGGTGCATTATTTACGAGTTAACGCTATGGTTGGTTAAACGTCTTCAGTGGACATATTTCGATTGATGTAGTTTAGATTTGATAATTAGATCGTTAATAAAGTAGCTTAGGATTTTAATAGAAATTAGTTTATCACCTATCTCTTTGATTACTGTTCAACTTAATAGCTGCGCTCTAGATTTATTTATCAGTTTTTATTTTTGTACTATATTTGTCGTTAAGGTTGTATAAATAATTTACTTCGAATGCTGGGTTGTTTTGAATAAGCACGTATTTTAATTCCCCTCGCTTTTTGGTATATATTTGAATTATTTAAGAGTATATATATATATTGTGATAGCGGGAAGTTCAAATCATTTAGGACAGTTTTTAAGATACAATGAGTGAGTGAGCAGTGACCAATCCACAGTTTCTCTTTAATATCTGTTTTCTCAGTAACCACAAAACTTTAATTACCTCTGCGGTCACCAGATTTGTTTCCGTTGGACTTATGTTTTTTAAGTATAATTTCTAGAACACGACACGCATCTTTTTAAAAGATTTACGTTAAGGGATGCCTACGAATAAATAGATTAAGGATTATAATTTTAAAATTGCTAGACAATTCGATTACTTAAAAGTGACCCTAACAAACAGTATCAAAGGGAACTAAAAAGTTGTAAAAACAGTGGCTAAAGGTAGTAACATAGCCGGTAGTCTAAGATGTTAATGTCGACGAAAATAATCCAGAGCCACAGAAATACGAATATATACAACAGTGATCCGACCTACAGTGATTTAGAAAAGCTAGTCCTGGATACTTAATAAGGATAAAGAGGGAACACTAGATCGAAGGAAACGAAAGATTACCATCATCCAGCTTCTTGCGTGCCTGCTGGACATAAGCCTCCTCCATACGTTCTTAGGAAATTTTATTTTGCGCAAATTGCATCCAGTTCTGCTCTATTCTCCCTATATGGTCTTTCCATTGGTAATATTTTCCGTCTTTTCTTATCTTCACGAAGTTTCCACCCCAATAATCTCTTAGTTCATCTATCATCCCTGAATCGTGTTGGATATCTTGCAAATCGTCAGTTTGGTCTTAATATTTTTCCTGTGATATCTTTTATTCCCGTTCTTCTGCGAATCTTTTCATTCTTAACGTGGTCTGTAAGTTAAATTCCTAATATCTATCTTTCATTTTCCTCTATGTGATTCTCAGTTTATTAGCAATATCTTAGGAAGCGTTACTGTTTCGATTCATATATTATATCTGAAAGGACGCGTTGTTTTTATACCTTTTCTTTTAGGGCTCATAAAGATTTTACTAGAATCTTATGTGTACCTTGGCACCAACGTAAATGCAAAATGGGAACAGACCATAGAAATTAAGGCGAGAATAGAACGAGCTAGAGCAGCATTTAGCAATATGAAAAAGCTCCTCATCAGCAAGGATTTGTCTCTTCCCCTAATATTACGTCTAGTTAAATGCTACATTTTTCCGATCTTGCTGTATGGCGTGGAGGCCTGGACGCTGACGGAGACGCTAACGAGGAAATTAGAAGCATTCGAAATGTGGGTGTACCGACGCATTCTTCGTATATCCTGGACCGAACACGTCACCAACATAGAGGTACTCCAAAGAGTCGGAAAGGAGAAAGAGATCGTGAATACAAATAAACAAAGAAAGCTTGAATATCTAGGCCACATATTGAGACACGATAAGTACCGTCTGCTACAATTGATTGTCCAGGGAAAAATAGACAGTAAGCGAGGGCCAGACAGGAGAAGACACTCGTAGCTCCAAAATCTGCGGAAGTGGTTCGGGCTCACATCGGTCGAACTATTCAGAAGCGCCGCAAACAAGATCAAAATTGCCATGTTAATAGCCAACGTTCGCAACGGACAGGGTACTTGAAGAAGAAGAAGAAAGATTTTACTATTGAATGTGCTCTTTAATATTTGTATTTCTTATGTTTGGTTGCTTCTGGTTATTTTTAAGCCATAATCAAGATATTTGTATTGTGTAATCTTTTCTATGGAAATGTTAAATAATTTGATTATTCCTCTGATGATCAATTTTATTTCATCACTTTCTATAACACATATATGTCTACTTCTTTCTGTTACCCTTTTTTGGAATAAATATTTTTTTTATTCCTCCTACAGGCTTCTTTCTACAACTTTTACCTTCGTAGTTTATCTGCTTTTAATTTTTATCATATGTAAGTGTTTTCATTTGGATTTTTCACAGTACCAACCTACCAATTTATGATCCCTTTCTATATCTGCTTATACCAATACTATTACATCTAAGACTTAAGAAAGGTTTAACTTTCTGTTTCACAAAATATAGTTTATTTTTGTTTGTGCTCTATTATTTTCAAAAGTATCTATAATTGTATTGTTTTTTGTGAATTTAAAAGTGTTATTCATACGTATATCATTACTGCAACAGAAGTTCTCTCAATCACTCAAATTTGCATATACGAGGGTTTGAATGTGGGTGTCCGTATATAGTATGCTGCATACGCGTGCCTCTCGCAATAGCCCAGGCTGTGGGAGAAAAAGGGTGATTTTACACTGTAATCCAGGAATTTATGTAATGTGGTCTAGGTTATAAAAGGCAACCTCAGAAGCAATCCCTCAATTCATTCAAAAACACATTTTTGGTTTTTGTTTATTTATGAGCGTTTATAGGTGCAAAATACGTATTTTTTGAGTTTTTTTAATTTTTTGCCTAAAGTAAGTGTTGTAATGGGTAATTTCTGTATTAATATGAAAGTAGTTTAAAAGACCTTAAATTTGAGCCAGTATACAGTCAAATTAATTTATTGCAAAAATGATGAATGAAGGTCAGAATTAAAATACGTAATATTTATTGTAAAATTGCTTTTTTTATTTCAAATATATATTACATTTAAGCCTATAAAATTACGAATCGAATGAGCCGTAATAGGCCTAGATCGCTTAAATTATTGCTGAGATACCGTAATTAGTTTATCCGACGACCTCTAACTTTGAACGCTCATAGGATTGTCAAAAAAAAATGGTACAGGGCTAATTTTATTTCATTCTCTTCCTAAAGCCGTATATTTTCATATTCCGCTAAAAAATAATGAAAAAAAAATTTTTTAACATCGTTAAAAACAATTATGTATGAAGTTATAAAATTACAGTTATAAACATTTAGAGCTGCAGCGCCCCTATGTACCCTATAAATTTCTAATTTCTAATTTCTAATCTAATTCCTGGATTAGAGAGTACTTTTTTCCTCCACAGCCTGGGCTACAAGGGTAATATTTGACTGCAGCAACATTTCTCAGCTCTACATCCCATTTTTTCAGCTTTTAGTTTCTCATCAAAATATCATTCACTCCTCTTTTTGCTCTTTGATGTTTCGGGACTCCACTGTATATATGTACATAGTTATTAATAAGCAATTATAGACTAAGCTCAAGAATACTGTTATAATCGAAAAATAATCCATGATACTACAAAATACGCGCTTGCTTGAGATTATAACGGATTATACCAAAATGCTGTATCCGATTGAACACAGATATCCAAAGATATATAAATGCGTTCAGTTGGTATTTATTTTTTCATTAAATAAATTAATAATTAAGGTAATACTATTGGGAATTGATTGACCTACTTTCAAGGAATACGGATCGTCCTTGGGAGGAACGTCCATTAATGAAAGAGTGTTCGTTGAAAACTTCTCTTTGGGGCGTAGTAACTTCAAAACACACCGTTAAAATATAATTTGCTTATGTTATTTATTTTGAGCGCAGGTGATGTATTGTTCATCTGAAGTAAATAAACCCTAATAATTGAATCAGGAAAATATAAAAATACTTTGTATTTTAAAAGGAAACACCACGTTTTGACAATTATTACCATCTTTAATGTGGTTGATTTATTAAATTTTTTGGCACCGTTATAAAAAACATAGCAGACGTTTCGAATTATATAGATGTTCTCACAAATAAAGCAATATTAGTAATATTATAAAAGCTTTCAGAATATTCGTTTGTATATTTAATGTTTATATGTTGTGCTGTTAAGATATTTTTTTTTATTAAAATCAAAAGCACTGAAGGTGACAGTTGTCAAACATATTTAAAAACCAAGTTTAGGATAGTAACTTAGGACCATTTACGTTTAAGGCATATAATGTATCTCGAATCCCTCATCTCTTTTTCCTATATTTATACCATTTTAAATCTTCTTCCAGGGTTTCGTAAGTTTTTTTATGTTTTTATGTACGTTCAGATCTTCTATATTTTCTTGGCATCTTGATTCTTTCCTTCTGAGTGCTCAAAACTTCCTTATATAGCCGTTTTACTATATCTACTAATAGTGTGACTAACGAGGTACTTACTGTATTAAATACATAAACGAGTACACAGTTTTTAACTTAAAATGAATAATATTTTTTCTCTATTTTAGGTACAGCAGCAAATCTCCGGAAGGAAGTCATTAGAAATAAAATCAGAGCTATTGGGAAAATGGCCAGAGTATTTTCTGTATTAAGGTAAGTTTTTTTTGCTTGTAAAATTCTCTAGTCATTTTGTAGTGAGCCATACTTATGATAATAAAAGCAAGATATGTATTACTAGCTACAAAATTAAACTACCAGTTAAATACAGTTAAACGGATATGTTAAAAGCTTTTTAAACATATCGAAAAGAATGCTTCGCATTCAACGTAATACCTACCCTATTACACCTAATATTATCCAGGTATATGCCCCTATAGATGACAAACCAGACAACATAAGTGAAGCATTCCATAATGGATTATCCAACACCTTAAAAGGGAAAATAGTCGGGAAAATTCATACAACAATTTTGGCTTGAAGAAAGAAATGAGCGAAGAGACCGATTTTGTGAATTTCTAACAGAAAAGGAATTTGTGATTACTAACGCTTATTTCCCGATTACTTCTCGATTAAACTTTCGTACAGAAGATTATATACACGTAAATCACCTCAAGATACACCTCAAGAAATCAGATAGAATGCATTATGATTAGTAAAATATTCCGTAACAGGATAATATCAGTCAAGAAATACCCAGGAGTCGATCAAGTTTGACCAAAACCTACTTATTGGAAAAATTAGGCTTACGCTATTTAGCTTAGGCTTATTCTTAGATTAAGATAAGATAATAGAAGATAAGGTAGCGGATAGATACAACGTACGATCCCAGCACAGTTAGATCTATAATCAGGGTCGCGACCCTGTCTACGCGAGGTATGATTCATTATTTCTTCCTTTAACCGAGGGGGTACCATATCTCAACCTGCTATCCTTACCGATGACACCAAATTTTCTATCCCATAGTAATATCCTTCTACCAACCTGCACAGATCAACGTGGTAGAAAACCGGTCAGAAATCTCCGTAAAATAAGAAACGACGGAAATAAAAGGCCCTTGAATCTCTGGCAATTCCTTGAAACCAGGCTATTAGCTATGCCTTAGAGCTACAGGGGATGCTAAGAATCCCCCCGGATTCGACCAGGTTACCTTCCCAATTGACAACGACAAAGAATATAGTTTATAGCAACATATATTACCAGAACATGGATGAAGGACCGGAAACTTGAAACTTTGGGAACTTGAAAACGAGCTGAAGCATAGAAAATGTGATATACTTGGATTATCCGAAGAACGGTAAAAAGGTACTTTTGCCGGGAAATCTATTGCATTAGAGATGAAAATCTTCTAATGATCTTGTCCTATTTATGGTAAATAAAAAATATACAAAAAATATACTTACAATTAAAAGCATAAGTGATAGAGTCATATATCTTATCTACAAAGTAAACGAAAACATTCCATTAAAGATCATTTAGGTATACTAACCTAGCCAGTTCCCACACATGCGAAAAAGTTTTGAAAAGAATGATTTTACAATCCCGTTATGACGATAGAAATAAAACGGGTCAAACTCATATAGAATTTCTTCTGCAACATAGGCTATATGTCATAAACACTCATTTTAAAAGAAGCCTCCAAAGAAGTCTTGGCAATCACCAACTGGCTTAAACAGGAACGTAATTGACTTTATATTTATCAACAAAAAGGATGCTGTTCATGACTTCAAGACTGTCTTAAGTCAATTTTTAACCGGAAGTGACCATAGAATGGTTAGAGCTAAGATTGTCTTGCACGTAAAGAAGGAAAAAAAATACGGTAGCAGGGACTAAAAATGTCACAAACTTAAACAAGAAAAAATGAAAAACTCACACCAGATACAAGAAACCTAATGTAAAAAAAAGAAGTAAATGAGTGATATGCATACAACTAACTTTGCAGTTCTAAGGAATTTAAACAAAACGATTTTGAAAGCGTTAGGAAAGATATAAAGCATTTTAACACTAAATAAAAACCTAATTACCAGTAACCAAAGAACAAAACAAATACTTATAAGGTAAAAACAAGGACATCCCATACATAAATAATAAGAGATCCTTAAAATCATAAAGAGTACTACAGAACATTATATAGTTAGAGATGCTCACATTTCAGAGGTAGAAATCCCAGCAATACACAATCAAAGGTCCATGGAACTTATAACCGAAAAAAAGTTAAATCAGCATTGCCAGGTTTGTTAACTATTTATTATGCCTGCTTCTTTAAAAGAACTATACCAGAAACATATAATAGTGCCATTATGATCATATTACATAAAAAGGAGATGTAACAGAAATTGGAAACTGCAGACCTATCAGCTTTTATCTCATTTATATAAGCTCTTTATGAGAATAATTACTAACAGACTAGGACTGAAGCTAGATTTTCACCAACCACTAGAGCAAGCTGGATTTGGGAGTGGCTTTGGAAAGAAAGACCACTTACAAGTAATAAAATCCTTGATAGAGAAAGTTATTAAATACAACAATCCATCGATATTAATATTTGCAGAGTTTAGGGAAGCATTTGACCCAGTCCAGCATAGCTCCATGTTTACAGCTTTTATGGAGGGCAGTATATAACGCAATATAATAATAGTGCAACAGCTGCAGTAAGAATGTAATAAGGCGACACAAACACATTTTCCTTGGAGAAGAGAATTAGGCAAGGAGGCACCATCTATCGTAAACTATTCACCGCTTTATTACAAAGTGCTATGAGAAATAATAATTTCAAAAATATTGAAGTCAACGTAAAGAGGAGTTTTCGAACAACTTGAAGTTTGCAGACGATATAGTCCTTATGGCAGACCACTAACTTCTTTAAGACCTTTAGAGATCTTATATATGAGTTGGTCTTAAAATTGACTTTTCCAAAGCACAATACATGACTAATTTTATACTGGCCAAAAACATTTCAGATGCCTAAACGATGGAGAATGAGAAAATAGAGAGAGATGGAAACGGTTAAACGAGGGAAGGCAGTGAATACTGTAGAATCCCTGAACATATGATCGGGCTAATAAGTATCTGTTCCACGAGATTAAGTTAGAAGAGACAATCACACACTAACGTGTGCAGCTTACGGAAAACTGACGGAAGTCCTTATATCACATATTCCCATGTATTTGAAAAGGGAGGTCTTATATATATATATAGTATATACTATAAATATATACTTAAAGTTCTAACGTATGGATATAAATGTCACAGAGAGCAATGGTCGCAATTAAAATAGTTACAATGCTAAAATGGAACTGGGTAGGGCATGTTATCAGAGTCAGAGGTGGAAGATGGACCAGGAAAATTTTAGAATACAGACTTAGACACGATCCTTATCCTAATAGACTAATAGAGGACGTCCTCCAACAAGATGGTCAGACGACATCAAGCGCATACAGCACAACTGGATTTAGGGTGCTTGAGATAGGATGCCATGGAATTATTTACGGGAGGTATATGTTCATGTGTGAACTCAAAATCGCTAATAATAATTATAGAAGATGCGACCTAGTGACAACCGAAAATATGCCAATCAGGCTACTGAAGGACCAACACACAAAGCAGAATGTAAATCAATACCGTTATTTAAATGGATGTAACGGACCAGGAGCTTAAAAATTGCATAGACTTTTAGAAGATATACAAGAGACATTTCTTAAACCACCAACAATAAGTAAATAATCGTCGATGGAAGAAATAAGATTTTAGATATATTGGAGGACAGGTGGAAGTTTAAAGATCAGGACACATTCTACAAAATGGTAGAGAAAATGATCAAAAAAGCAATCAGAATAGCTAAGGATACATAGCTAAGAGAACAATATCCGGAAATACAGCTATTGCAACATATAAACGCGATTCATTTAATATACACAAAAAAAGTTAAGGAAGCTGCAGGCTTATACGAGAGTAGAAGAGTTGGATGGCTGACAGACAAACAAGGCAACCACTATTAAATGTGAAAGAGGGAGTATACACTTGGAAGAAATATGCGGAAGTAACTTTTCAGATGAAAGGCAGCATACTGTTAAAGACACAGGTGCCAAATAGGAACACAGATTCCCATAAAAAAAGTCACGTTTGGTATTAGAAAAACTAAAGAAGGTAAAATAGTAGTAGGTAGTAGGGCCTAAGGAGTTTTGTGCAGAATTCCAGAAACTTATGGATGAACAGGGAATAAAATGGGTAACAACAATATATAACAAAATATATGTAACTGGAAAAATTCTCCAAAGCTAGTTAAAATCCACCTTCATAACTATAAAATCTTCAGTGTAGTAGTTCCCAAGCTAACTTGGATCTAACAAAGAGACCTAGTGTGTGAGCTAGCTAAAAGCAAAGCAAACCAAAATTAAGGTTTATTCCTTATTTTCTTTGCCTTATTGAGAAGTAGTAGCAAAAGTTTGCAAGAAATCATTTATGAAACAAAATATTTACTATACCTTCCCTTTTAAGTATAAATATATACTACTAGATCCAAAAACCAATCTTTAGACTAAAATTAAAAATAGTTTTGATAATTTTCAATAACTATGAATTTCGTACAAAAATTTTATTATTTTTAGTATATCTAACATGTAATATTAATATGGTTCTATATATATATATTTTTTGTTTTAGGGAAGAGAGCGAGTCTGTATTACAGTTGAAAGGGCTTACGCCAACTGGAGCATTGCCGTTAGGAGCATTATCTGGAGGAAAAACGAGTCTCAAGAATGGTAAGTCAAAACACTTAATCACATTAAAAGTCGCATTATCTTATAGGGTTCATTTGATTATATGTCTTCAGATGATTTGAAATATATTATATCATTGATGTATATTTATTAAAATTCTAATAAAATCTTCTATTTTACAGTGGTTTGCCCCACTTATGTGTTAAATATACACCTGAAATAAAAAAAAGTCATAAAAAAGATATGTTCCAATATTGGGCTAACCCGTACACTAGCCCCTTTCAAATTACCATATTGTCACGTCTGCCCTCGAGTCCTACTCTGCTGCAGTTTACATTGTATTATATAGAAAGTTCTGTTTTTTGCCAAGAATGTCGTTTTCAACTAGTATATAATATAAATGAAAAAAGTCAACTTGCTAAGAAATTTGCATATTTTAAATATACTGTAAATTCAAAAGTTAAAGTCATATACATACGACTTTATATTCCATTGTTTACCTGCTCCAAAAAAGGTTTAGTGGTTTCAACTGATTATTTTGATAATAAAAGACAATTGATTAATTTAAAAGACTGGAAAACTGTACTAAAAATAAAACTTGTTTATCCTAACACAAGAGTTTATTGAGTAATAACATATTTACAAAAAAAAAGAGGTTAATCTTCGTAAATGGGTATATTTACGAAGATTAACCTCTTTTTTTGTGATACGTGGTATACAGCCAGCTCCAGGAATTGTTTTCCTTGTGGATTTTATATTTTTACAAAATATAAATACAAACAAATAAAACAAACGCAAAGCTAAAAGTAAGGTTAATTTGGATTAGCTGACAGATCTTCACGATATGATAGAACTGTAACACTTATGGAATTTTCTGCCGAGGCTTGGTCATTTTAAGCATAGCAATACAGGATATGGTACATCATACCGTTCATTAATAATATTATACATAGACACCTAATACGTATAGACTGAGCGGGAGCGCTGTAATAAAGTTCTCTTCCCCTAGTGCGACAGAGAAAACTATCGCTGCATCTCTTTCTGATGGGCCTGGTTAATCAATCACGGGACCTTAATGGCCAATGGGAAATTCACGTGTTCGATAAAAACTCGGCCCGTTAAAAAGAGATGCGGGGACTGCTTTGCGTCAGTTTTCTCTGTCACACTGTGGGAACGGGCTGGCATTGCAACGATTGCATTCTTGTATTATATAAATATGGATATTATAATAACTAACCTAACCTAATTTTTAATTTTGTATTTTATTTGTCTGTAAATATTTTAAAAAAATGGATTTTGTAAATCTGTTATTACTAAGTAAACCCTTATACTAGGATAAACTGTCATCACGTGCCTTAGTATGTGGACCAATGTCGGTGCGCATCGCCCCGCCTTTCCACCTCCTGTTCAATTTACTATTGGTCGATGGCCGATGGAAACGCGCATTTCGATAGTATAAAAAAAGTGCATTTTCCAAGCCATGGGCAGTGAAGCCTAGTCTTACTCCGTCTCCCATGTAGGGTCTCCTATACCCTGATAGCTCTGCTTCCTACTTGTCCTTAAACTTTTTTGCCAGGACCTTTTCTCCACCAAATTGAGTTTTATTTGCAAGAGATTACCTAGCCCGCCAAATTCGGATAGAGACGCAGAATTCACTAGTAGAAGTCGTCTGTAGAGCACCTATTGAACTGATATGGAGTTATTTCTTTGTAAATTCCCAAACCTCCCTTTGGTGACAACACATGCTTCAATTTTAATACAGTTTTTCAGCCTTTTACTTGATCAAAGGTCTGTTTATTATTAAAATATTTAGTTAAAACCAGTGAACCTTTTTTTGGAGCAGGTAAACAATAAAATGTAAGGACTTTATTTATACGACTTTTACTGTTGCATTGAATTACAGCACATTTTATACAGCACAGCTATATGTTATACAATGTAAACTGCAGCAGAATAGGACTCGACGGCAGACATGGCACTTTGTCAATGTGAAAGGGGTGCGAGTACGGGTTAGCCAATTATCTTTACAGTACAGCATCAACCTGTATGCGTCCACTGCTGGACATAGGTCTCTCTCAGTTCTTTCCGTCTGTATCTGTCTTGTGCGCCTTACGTCCAGTTATTGCTAACATGCCAGGTCATCAGTCCATCTAGTTGATGGGCGTCCTCTGCCTCCGTATTTCTTCTTGCCTTGGTCTCCACTCTATAATAGGTTTTGTCAATCGATTGTCTAATAATCTGGCGACGTCTCCTGCCCAATTCCATTTTAACGATGCTATTTTTTCGATAGCGTCTGTTGTTTTTGTTCTACGATGTATTTCTTCGTTTGGGATTCGGTCTCTCAGAGAGAAACACCTATGATCTGGCGCTCCATAGCCATCTGAGTCACGCGAATCTTAAATAACTACCTTTTTTGTGAGTGTTGTGATTATCTTTATGTTACCTGTAATCCTACTTTTTGAAAGGTTCTTCCAACTTCTGGCATTTGTTCTTCATACAAATTTCTACTTATTTTACTCATACAAAACATGTTTCACCACACTTGCTTAAGGTACAAAATTATTGTAATTGTAAATTAATCAACAATTCCCGCTGTCCAAAATTCAAATTTGCTCCTGTTGTTGAGGTTAATATTAAAGGTTATTGTACATCTTCCATTTATTCATGATACATATTCCAGAATACTAGAACCTTGTAAAACATTGTATACATCTATTGGATTGACTCTTTATGTTTTTTAAATTACTTGGTGCTTGCTCTCTCTAAAATATTAACTGCCTGTGATCTAAAGCCTAGCAGCCATGCAATATAGAGTTGACAGTTTCAAATTTTCTGCTAAAATTTTAGTTTACATAAATTAGTCACAGGTATTCCATGACTGGTGCATATATTCCTGCTTGTTTTCCGCAATACTTTAGCCTTTTTCGCTCGACCTTGCTCACCTCACAGAATTAACGACCAGGTCTAAGCATGAACGAACTCTCTACCATAACAAGGTTTCACATCTCTTGGAGGAGTACTATTTTGTTAACGTTACAAAATATCTCCATCATTTACTCAGTTTTTATTATTTGCTCCTTTTAAAAGATCTAATGTTTTTTAGAATCTATTCGTGTTTAATTATTCTGTTCCAAAGATGATTTCGATGAACCCTGATGAAGTAGTTATATTATATTATGTTAACTTAATTATGATGCGATTATATTTTTAATAATGTATTTTTTGTCTTTTATTAGCACTGCAAGGATTCTCACCGAATCACAAGATTACCAGTTTCGCAGAGGCTAAGGGTCTCGACGCAATCAATGAACGTATGCCTCCCAGGAAAGATGCGCCTCCTTCGCCATCAGCTGAAGAAAATCCACAGGACCACAATCACACTCAAACAAATGCACACTCGTGAGCTAGACTTAGCTAGGACATCACATTAGCCATCTGCAGGTAAATTTATTTAACATTTTTATACCTGCCATTAGCAGTATTATAATTAAATTTTTATGAGTAGTGTTATTTTGTTTTGTCGATGTTATTATTAGGGATGTAGCCAATCCGGCAGCTACTATTAGGAAGTATTCCAACCGCTAATGTTATTGTGTTAGAGAAAAATTTACAATATGATAAGGAAAAGCTCTAAAAGAACGGCATCAATTTCTTTAAGATCAGATATTTGGACATGGATATTTGGACATTAATATCTATATTATGGTTCAAACTTCCAAATGAAATTCGGAAACCTCTTAGCTGAACAATTTGCAGTTACTAAGGGTCTCAGACAAGGATGTTGTATCTCTCCGACTTTATTTAAGATTTATATCTCTGCAGCTCTGAAACAATGGAAAAGGAAAGTCAAAGGAATGGGTATACAATTGAACGAGCAGGATTACATATATACTTTACAGTTTGCAGATGATCAGGTGGTGATCTCAAATGACAAAGACGACATGGAATACATGCTTAGAAAACTAATTGAAGAATACCAGAAATGGGGATTAAATATCAATTTAGAAAAGACAAAATACCTCTCAATTGAAGCTGAAGCAGAACAACTCGATATCGATGACAATCAAAAAATAAATCCATGTGACGAATATAAATACCTGGGCGTCATCTTCGACCGTAGTGAAAAAGACGAACGAGAAATAGAACATCAAATTGTACAAGCACAAAGAGCTATAGCATGTTTGAACGGAGTTCTATGGAGTAAAGAAATATCAAAGAAAAGAAAATGCAACATCTATGAGACAATGGTTAAAACTAGCCTACTTTATGCAGTTGAGACATGGAGCATAACCGAGAAATATAAGAAATAGGTCACGGAAATGGATGCCATCAGAAGATCGATGAGAATATCAAGAGCCGACAGAATACGGAATGAAGTGATAAAACAACAAATGGGTATAGAGGGCACTATAGTTGAGGATATTGAGAGAAAACAGCTCATATGGTATGGGCATGTGAGCCGAATGGGGGACGATAGATTGCCTAAAAAACGATGATGTGGCAACCCCCAAGAAGAGGAAACGAGGAAGACCACCACAGAGCTGTAACCAGGGAGTTAGGAAAGCGATTAGCGCTCGAAATCTGGACGAAAACCTAACTCAAGTCAGAATACAGTGGCGTTTGGGAGTCGGACAACGTCGTAAGACGTTATAAAACCGACTACCAATGAAGTTTTATCAGTGTATTACATAGGTCACTAGATTTCAGAAATGTCGAAAAACGCAATATAACCTTACTTTGTGATAAATTTACAGGAAGTCATACTGGACAATAGCTGACAAAATTGCAGCCCTGACAGACAAATGGGCCTTTGAGAAACAAAAAATTGATTTCTTGTTTAGAGCTTAGGGAGAGCGAAGTTAATATGGTAAAAGGCTGTAAAGATTTAGAAAGAAGAAACAGTTGGGGTCGTTTTTTATACAAACTCCAATTAACAATCAATGGTATTTCAGAAGACTCAGTTATTTTAGAGGCGATTCCAACAATTTGCATTAAAATTGTTGCATCTAATCTTCTTTCACAATAAAAGAACAGTTATATGGCGTTGGAGTTAAGAAAGAAAGTCTCATTACTGGAATCAACAAAAAGATTTCCGATGAGGAATCACGCGGACGGTTTTATCATATCTACTACTTTAAATCGCAGATATAGAACATATTTTTGTTTTTCAAGTAATACTGTAGTGGCAGGTATTAAAAATAAAGTTGTGAGAAAAATTACAGAAATTAATAAAAATCAATGTAGAAGAGTCTAATTATGGAAAACAAGTAAATGATAGGGATAGCGTGGTTATTATTAGCGAATATGAGGATGAAGTACCTTTAACCGCAAGGCAAAAAAGAGCGAAGATAAATAAAAAAAAACGATTCTTCAAAAATTCATCTTTTACACTATGGAAGTGCTGCGGAAGTGACTTTTTATCACCTTCAACTTCTACATCCTCCATAAGTGATTCTAATGCTAACATACTCTAAAAAAGTCGGACCCAATTAAGTGGTACAGCAGACACTTTGGAACATTTCCTGGTCTAATTAATTTAATTCTACATTTTAGTTGAACTTGAGTTTTGCTGAACTTGATCAAAACTATAAAACACTGAAAATTTTGTTTTCAACACTTCAATTTTATTAATAGTTACTGTACTACAGCTGTTTCGGCAGAGTGCCTTTCTTAAGTGAGCTATTTTTGTTATGCGTCTAACACGTTATTCTCTTTAACTAAATAAGTTGACAAGGGGAGAACTATTTGTCTTAAGTTGGGCATTCAGAATTATATCTGTATTTTTAATTTGTTAATTTCCATAGATTCTAAAAATGATAGCCTAATGCCTTTATTTGAAATGTGAAGAATTTGAAATTGGTTATTAAAAGAATAATTATGATCTAGAAGTCCGTAAGTAGAATCTACTTTTCTGTTATTGAAAGCCCTTTTGTGTTCTGCAACCCGTTTGTTAAATGTTCTACCCGTTTGACCGATGTAAGTTTTTGGACAGTCGCCACATGTAACTTTGTATACACCACTGTGTAAGTGCTTTCTCTTTTGGCTCTTGTTATTCTTAATATGTTTGCTGAAAGTTGTTGTTTCTTCTGAAAGCTGGCGTTATACCTTTCTTTTTTATGTGTTTGGCTATTTTTCATCATATCTTGCCTGTATATGTAATCGAGCAGAAAGTACTAGGTTTTTTCTCTGTTGATGGAAGGACTAATTTGCAAGGCTTTCTTAAGCAAATTTCGGTTTAAAATTTTGTTTATTATCTGTTCGTTGTAGCCATTGTTTACTGCTGTTTTTTTAATGATATTAAATTCTATCTCGAAGTTGTTTTTTGACAAGGGAATTTCTATTAATCTATGTACTATGCTATGATAGGCTGCCAATAGGTTTATGGAATATGTAAAACTCATGTTTGTTTTCAAGTCTAATAATGTTTAAATTTAAAAAAATTATGGATTGATTCAAAAATAAATAACAGAGTTTCACTTATCCTGCCCTATTAATGACTGCAAGCTCAAGATAAAGCTTTAGTATATAATATATATATATATATATATATATATATATATATATATATATATATATTATATATATATCGCACCCTCAGTGCAAGACTGCAGTAACTCAAAATTTTATGAAAATGAAGTAATCATGGAATTCGATTGTAAACATGCATAACTATCCCCTGTAAAACTTTAGTAACTTTCAAATGCTTAACCGGCTAAATATTACAACAACAACAGTTTAACTATTTTGCGTTTTTGTAAGTAACCTCCGTGCAAAACTGTTGTAATTCTAATGTAACAGAGTTACAACAGTTTTGCACGGAACATTGCAATGGTTTCAATAACGAAAAAAGTAAGATATTTGTTATTTTAATATCAATATCTGTGGTGTTTAATTTTAATATACAGCGTGTCTACGTAATCCATTAACGGCCGAGACAATAAACAAAGATATACAAGAACAACCTATTCATCTAAGTTTTATATCGTTTGTGACAATATACTTTCCATAAAATGCGTGCGATATCGTTTGACTTTTTTTATTAGATTGGATTAAAACACATAAATTAAGACTAATTATTTACAGCCAAAAAGTATTTTTCCTTATGAAAGAAAAAACAGTTATCTTAAAACTTGTGTATTAACAATACTGACAGGTTACTAATATCTATTCTCAGAAAACTTGTTCGTATAAAAACTAAATCCAAAATTGTATTAAATCTTCATGTAACGTTCCGGGGCGATTTTCTTATCATATTGTCCCCGGTAATTCCCAACTTTTACTAAGGTAGTGAATTTTAATCCCATTGTTAATCACTGTATTCAAGGTAGCTTGATTTGCGTATTTTTATTATAGTCCTTTTGTTTTCAATTTTAATAAAAATTTATATTTTTGACAAAATATAAAATATTTTAGCCCAAGATGATATACGAGAAGAGGACAACTACTAACAGAAAATGTGTCTACACTTTTTACAATTTTCTCCGTGCAAAAGTGTTGTAACTTTGAAATTTCTAATTTTTTTAGCATTAATATTATTTTATTTAAATTTTCATTTTTGGTTAATGTATTATAGGCTGAAAAGCATGCAAAATCATAACTAGATGTTAATTTTTCTTAAAACTTGTGTCTTATTTCACCGATATTAGCACGAAAATACACAAAATCGTCTTTATCTCGAAACTTACTTATTTTGACTTACTGCAGTCTGCACTAGGGTGCGATATATATGCTTCCTATGGTTTTCCGGGTTTGACTCCGTTTTGAATAGTTTTGGTTCGGCAAGGCAGCATTTACCATTGTCTAGTCAGGTAGCAAGATTCTTGCTGATGCTTTAAGTAGACTGACTCTCATGAACTCATTGTCTCGTTGGTCTCTGCTTTTGGTTGGTTTTTCTCTTTGTTTATGATTTGTAGTCCTGTTTAGATTGAGCACCTTTTCAGGACGTGGTTTGTTTTTTGTTGGGTTGGCTTTTTGTCGCTGCGTTTGGGCTCACTGATGGTTCCATTCCTTAGATGTGTCCTGCGGAGGAGGTGGATCCAGGGTGATCAGAGGCGAAAGGGTTGTTGAGCTAAAACGGTCCTTTTCAGAATTTTCTCATAGTTAATGCGGTTACTTATACAGTATTGGAAGATTTAAAACGGAACATACGAATTATTAATACAATTATTAAGATCCCTGACCTGCAATTACCTAGTGTAAATTTCAATATAACGTCGCGATGTCTTATAATTAATTCATTTTTTCGACTGGATTGCTACTCCTTGGCGATTTCTAGTAGCGTATTCGACAGGTGTACGTCGACACTGTTGTCTATCGTCCTCTGATTTTCTGTGTTTTTGTGCAGATAATAACAATGTTTTATTAATAACAATTTTTTTGTGTTCATTAGATATTCTTTGAATT